GGTTCCCCCAACCCCCGGGGAGACTCCTCAGCCGAGGACAGACCGTTTCCCACATTTCCCCGTCTTCCTCCCAGCGCCGCCTCAGTTTCAGGCGCTGAGTCCAGCAAGCCAGCAGAGCCTTGCGCAGACAGCGCCGGGTCCGCTCGCCCTGTGTCTCGTGCAGATGCGTCCCCAGGACCTCGTGCCATACTCCCAGGCCGTCCTGAGGCCGTGTGGCCGTCCCCTGGTCTCTGGAGGGCACATCAGGCTCCTAGAGCTAGGAGCTGGGGTTGGTTGTGTATAGCAGGGTCACAGCGCACGGGCCCGAGGCCAGGCCGGATTCAGGCCTCAAGCTCTGAGCAGTGGGTAGTGAGCCTCAGGTGTGGCCACCACGCCGTCGCCTAGGGTGAGGGGTCAAAGGAATGCTCCTGACCTCGTGGGTGGGAGCAAGAGGTGACTAGGGCTTTGTCCCTCCAAATACAAACAGCAGATCTCTTGTCATACATTTCATACAGCTGTAGGGATGGCAACTAAGCCCAGAAAGAATTGTCCTGGCCCAGAATGACCAGGGCAGTCTGGCCACAACAGAAGGGCCAGCTGTGATGCAGTCTTAGCTGGCAGTCTGGCCCCAGCACCTCCCAGAACTTGGAGGATCCTAGCCCCCCTCACCCCTGCACAGAATCTAGAAGCATTTTGGGGGTCAAATATCCAGGTGAAACTCTCCATGGAACAGTCTAGGGCCAGCATTTGGGGTGATGGTTAAGACTCTGGACTCCCACATGACTGCTAACGGTTGGAGTCCGGAACTGGTGTCTTGCTTTCTCATTTTTTTCTATGGTCAGAGCCTGTGCCCTATAACAAATAGTAACAATAATAAAGAAAATAAAGAAAAATAGTCTACTTCCTTAATGGGAAAGGAAAGGCAAATTCAATCAATCATAGCACATTCTATTGATTACATTACTGGTTATAAATAAATATAGGGACCAAGTGGTGGCTTGATGATAAGGAAACTAAACCCACATGGAAAAGGTCTTGGGTTTGGCTCCTGTGACCTTCCTGAAAATGTAGGGTGTGGGTAGGTGCCTGGGATCTGGCTGTCTGAGACTGGGGGTGAATTGTGAATTGAAGACCTTCTTGGCAGTTCTCTCTCTGATGTTAAAATAAGCGTTTTAAAGAATGAAAACTTTGGGTGTCAGCAGGTGGCAGGGAGGTTAAGGTGCTGGATCCCACAGGGCCAGCTCTGAGGTTTGAGTCTGGACCCAGCAGGACAGAGAGGGAAACCATTCCCCATGGAGGATGATGTTGTAATCCCTTGTTCGCTATTCTTCTCTCAGGATTTTGGGTATGCACCTGGCATGTTTTATAGCCATTGGGTCTAGGACTCCAGCCACCTTAACCTCCACCACTTGCTGGCCCTACCTATTACTTATTGTAGTAGTAATAAATAAAAAACAAACAAGGCCAGCCCATAGCCTACTTGGTAAAGGAGCTGGATTCCACATGGCCAACCATGGATAGTATTCTGACCTGAAGGCTTAAAAAACTCACCAAGCAGGGACCAGCAGGTAGTTAAGGCACTGGACTCCCACATGGCCAACTGCAGTTCAAGTTCCAGACCTGGCAGCTTGCTTTCTCACTTTCTCTCTTTTTTAAATTTAAAAATAATTTAAAGATGTGACAAGCCCATCTCCCCTAGGGGGATAATTTTTTCTTTCTCTCTTTCTGTCTCTTTCTCTCTCTGTCCCTCTCCACATGCTCCCTAGACAAAAATATAAAAGTAAAAATATTCATTTAAGAAGGGAATCAGGGGACCAGCAATTAGCGTAATGGCTATGTAGCTGGACTTCCATGTGGCCGACCACAGTTTGAGTCCTCAACCCAGTGGCTTAAACTCATGTGGGGCGCATGTGCGTGCGTGCCCAAGATCCCAAGAGGAGAATGGAGGAGAAGGGATTGCAGCGTGGCCATCCCCCCGGGGGGTGATTTCTCACTTTCTGTCTCTCTGTCTGGCGAGCGCACACACCCTACAGCAAAAACCTCTTCCCCCCCAAAAAAAAATGTTTTTAATCAATAATAATAACAAGAAAAGGGCAAGAGATTAAACATAATAGATGGTACCTATAAAATAAAAGACTATGGGGTCAGCAGGTGGCATGATGGTTAAGGGCGCTGGACTCCCACATGGCCAACCACAATTTAAGTTGCAGACTGGGAGGCTTGCTATCTCTCTCTCTCTCTCACTCTGTTCCTCTCTGGGCAAATTTTAATAAATAAATAATTTAAATAATTCTTAAAAAATAAATAAAAATAAAAGACTATAGAATAATAAAATAATAACAAATAAAATTAAGTAAATAATTCTTTTTAAAAAAGAATAAAGTGCTCCTATGAAGTGGGATATACATTAAGCAATTACATATTCATGTTTTCAAAATAATAATGTTCATACCATTGTAGTATTAATCGGATACAAAGTAGCATTCAAAATGGTGTGGTCACATCTGTGACATAACCTGAATGTCCCCAGACCCCATCTTTTGTAATTTCACTGAAAAGAAAGTTTTCAGTGGATGACTCACTCTGAGAAGCATAATGGGGGAAGAAGAAAGGGACTAACTCCTGGGGTTTGAAGAACTGCCCAGCCTCCACTGTTGCCCTCCTTGGTCTCCATTGTAGGAAAGTTCTCTGGCCATTTGCTCCTTGGTCCAGTGGTGTGCTGAAACAACCAGCTCTGTGGGGAGCAATTTGTAGAATTTGTCGCTTACCGTGGTGTAAATACTCCCACCAAGGCCCGTTTTAAATTATCAGTGTGGGATCACTGAAAAGCGCTGGGAAGCTCTTCCACAGGAGGCCTACAGGCCACCGCTTGTGCCACCGCCATGTCTCTGGTGATCCCTGAGAAGTTCCAGCACATTTTGCGAGTACTCAGTACCAACATTGATGGGCGGCGGAAAATAGCCTTTGCCATCGCGGCCATTAAGGGTGTGGGGCGAAGATATGCCCATGTGTGTTGAGGAGAGCAGACACGGACCTCACCAAGAGGGCAGGAGCGCTCACTGAGGACGAGGTGGAACGTGTGAGAGATATTATGCAGAATCCACGCCAGTACAAGATCCCAGACTGGTTTTGTTTTGTTTTGGTTTGGTTCTTTTTGGAGAGGTTTTTTCTCTATAGGGTGCGTGCGCTCACCAGACAGACAGAGAGAGACATAGAGACAGAAAGCGAGAAATCAGGGAACCAGCAGTTTTGTTGTTTTTTTTTTTTTTCCTTTCTTTTTAGGTATATAAACTATTTATTACCAGGCAAGGCCTACAGACTTATTTCTTCTTGGACATACGCACGGTACGGCCACAACAGCCAGCTGTCTTGGTGTGTTGGCCTCGGACCCGAAGGCCCCAGAAGTGGCACAGCCCTCTAAGGGCCCGTATCTTCTTCAGTCTCTCCAGGTCTTCACACAGCTTGTTGTCCAGACCGTTGGCCAGGATCTGGCTGTATTTTCCATCCTTCACATCTTTCTGCCTGTTCAAGAACCAGCTTGGGGGGAACCAGCAGTTAGCATAATGGCTATGTCGCTGGACTCCCACGTAGTCGACCGCGGTTTGCGTCCCGGACCTGGTGGCTTAAAACTCACGCCGGGTGCGTGTGCGCGTGTGCGCGCGTGCCCAAGATCCCGAGAGGAGAATGGAGGAGAAGGGATTGTGGTGTGGCCATCCCCCCTAGGGGGGTGATTTCTCGCTTTTTTTTTTTTTTTGAGAGGTTTTTGCTATAGGGCGTGTGTGCTCGCCAGACAGACATAGAGACAGAAAAAAAGAGAGAGACAAAGAGACTAAAAAAAAAAAGAAAGAAAGAAAGGAAAGGAAAGGAAAGGAAAGGAAAGGAAAGAAAAGGAAAGAAAAAAATGCTGGGAAGGGTTAGGTAAAAATTAGTTCTTGTGGGGCTGACAGGTGGCGTGGTGGTTAAGGGCGCTGAACTCCCATATGGTCGACTACAGATCAAGTACCAGACTCTTTCTCTTGCTCTGTCCCTCT